TAACAATTTAATACATTTGTAAATTGATTTGAACAATTTAGATCTGAGATCATGAGTATGATAGAAAGTGTGTTTACTAGAGATATGTTTCATGGCTGCATCTATAATGGCTTTTTGAAGAAGGTCTCAGATAAAATTAACTTTATGAATGTTAGAAAGGTTGTCTAAATCTACTGAAATCAGTCTTGATTTTTTGCATCGATTGTCAACCGCATCAGCAAAAATAGACCAATCTTCTTTTGACATATCATGATAAAGAAAAACAAGTTTTTTTATCATTGAGACATTATTAAACCTGGGTTGATAGAAGTAAAAGCAATAAAGCAGATACTATATAATAGTCTAAAATCAAGATATCTACCAGGATAATTTGGTGGTTGTTAAAATTAGAAAGCAAAGCTAGAGTGATAAATATATAATTGATTGTTATCCATGTAGAATCTTGTATATACATGTGAAGGTTATCACTATTCATAACTGATTTAATGAAGATGAATATGTTAACAAAATTATTGTCTGTTATATAATCTATAAAACATTGTGAATGCGAAGGATTGTGAAATCTAGATGAATTTATATTAAAATCTCCTAAAATAATAAGAAAGAAGTTAACATGAATAGCTTTATCTATAAGGATACATATTTGTTGAATTATTTTTAAATGAAGGGGTTCGTTAGAATATGATAAATATATGTTAATAACATGAAATTTATTTTTATTTTTAAATTGAAAATTAAGACAGAAAATTCGATTAAAAAAGAAAGAGTAGTGAAAGATATGGTTAGCAAGGTATTTTTTAACCAGAAATCTCACATTAAAACCCAAATGTTGAGTGTCTGAGTCTGTAGAAAAAAAGGTATAAATTTGTTATTGCAAATGGATTTAAGAGGAAAGTGATGAAGGAGTGTAATAAATTTGTTTTTGTAGAGCAATAATATCTAAATAGTTAATAGAATAGAGATTAAATAAAGTTATTATTTGTGTGAATTGAGTAATGAACGAGTATTGTGAGTTGTAATGTTAAAGAAAGTGGGGTGAGTTTAACATTTGTATAATTATTTTATATATTCATAAAAAGTATTTAAAAGAAGAGATTGGGATGAGGTGAATTAGTACCATCATCATTAATCCAAATTACATCTGGTTTGTTTAGTTGTGAAATAGGTGTACAAAGTGATTCATTGGTTTTTCTATATACAAATTTTTGGATATGGGTGACTGCTTCAAATACAGAGTTAAGTTTTTTGATATTTTGTTTGTTATTAAAGCGAAACTTCTTATTTTTCTTGCGCAAGCTATTGGATTTTCCTTTCATATTCTATGATCTTAGATTCAGAAGTATCAACACCCTCTTTATATTGAGATTCATCTGTCTTCATGTTAGCCTTGCCTTTTCCTTTATTAGCAGTATTTAGTTTAGCAACTTTCTCAGGAGTGAGATTAAAGATATTTAAGTGTTATTCAATGATATCAAGACAACGAACGGTAAAAGTGAGTTCTGTGTGTATTTTAGCAAGTATTTCTATAAGTGCATCTAATTTAAGTATTATTTTAGTAACATCAGATAGTTTTTATGCAGATTAGTTGTCACGTTATTGCTGCAGAAAAAGATAATTATCCTCAACTTGTTCAGATTAGGATTTATTGGCATAGATCGACTCATCTAAGAATGATATATTGTTATCTTTGTTTATGTTATTATTGTTATTGTTGTGTTTGCTATTGGTAGGTAATTTAGAGTAAATGGGAACAATAAGGGGTTTGTTTAAAAATGATACATTATGACGAATACAGTTTGCGAAGGATTGAGGATTTTTCAGATCAAATACAGTATCATTGTCATGCACAAATGTAGGTCGAACAGACTTAGGAGGAGCTGAATAATTTTTAAATTAGGCGGGTTTGAACCTCTAGTATAGGTTTTGAGTTTAACGATCCTGTAGTATAGCATGTTTCTTTCTACATGAACAAGAGTTATGTTCTGACGCAGCACAGTGAGCACACAGTTTGGTATCAGATTATGTCTAAATAAGTCTTTTGTCATCTAAAACGATTTGGTCACCATTCACTGCAGCAAACAAATCTTCCTCAGATTCAAAGTGGACGAAAGCATATTGTAGATTTTAGTAGTTTAAGCAAACTTTAAGAACTACCCATGTTATTGCATTAACTGCTTTTGCAATAGGTTCTAGTTCACATCCGAAAGTATCTTTAAGCAAATTTGTGAGCTTGAGGGTAAATTTTGAGTGAAGTTAAATTTCTTCTGTCGTAGCAGAGCAGGGATATACACAGACTAAGTCTTTAAGAATAAATTGACCTTTGATATCTTTGAAAACTGTTATATCAGTGCTTTCTACAAAGGAAATAGTCGCTTATTGCCACAAGTTTTTTGTGATCATAAAACATCTTAGAATATTTCCAAATTTAGCAAAAGTTGATCAGATAATACTTTCAGATGTTGAAATGGAAATCTCTGTAACCTTGATCACCAAATTGGAGTTAAATCTAAATAAGGTAGGATGTTTGAGTGACATTAATTTCAAATCTGCCATATTGGAAAATTTAGCACAGAGCGAATTGTTAGCATCTACACTTGTGAAGAAATCAAATCAAACAATTTTGAGCATTTTATTTGTAAGGTTTTATTTTACAGATGCACCAATGAAAGATGGAAAGTTAACATCGTTGAACATCTCACAAGTATAGGTAATTTTTTTCTTATTAGATTTTCTGAAGAGAAAAGTTTCATAGGCACAGTAAATATAGAAAGAAGAGGCATTGCGAATATGTTTAAATGAGAGTACGTTAGGCAAAGAGTTATTTTTTTAACTAAGTTTTTAGTAGGATCATATACTTGGTCCTTATCCATAGCGTTAGTAATTTTAGGAATGACCAGGGTTGCAGCATTTTTATTTTCAGTTTCAAGTGAAAGTTTACTTCTATATTACCTTGGGAGCCAGAAGCAATGTTGGAGTTGTCAGTATTATCAGTTTCAGTAGAACTAGGATGGTTTAGAATAGTAACTGTTTTTTTTTGAAGTAGTTCTAAAGACTTGTCATCAACTGGCAAGTTAGGAAGACTACGAGTATTACGTTGAATTTTTGGGTTATTATTGAATTTTTTTTAAGTTACTTTTCCCATAGTGGTTTTGAGTGAAGTGGGAAAAAATTTTTTTTAAAAAGAATAACCTGATATAATTTTTTTTTTTTAAATGCGGCAGTTTTGCATGATCTTTATTGAATTTATATAATACTGAGTATATATAATAGAATAGAAAATACAAAAATATCTATAAATTAATTTAAACTAAACTATTTTATCAATACTAACCTTGCACTTTACTGAACTAAACTATAAACAGAAAAGAAAAGAAAAGAAATCTTAACAAGACTAAACTATTATATAATTATCAAACGTCTGAAAAAGGAAGCGTGATTACTGCCATTCCAAAAATTTGACCAGTAAAAGCCATAGGCGGTAGCCGTTATAAAGGATGTGGGATTTGAAGTTGAGGGGAGGGAGAGGAATGTAGGAAACCTAAGGAGACCCAAAGAATAGTATAATCTTTTACAATGTTATTGGCAATTTTTCAATTGTTCAGAACAGCATTTCTTTGTAACCATATCTCATAACAAGATATAGAAACATCATGATAGAAGGAGGACAAGAAACTATGTGATAAATCTTTGATAGATAAACAAATTGTTACTTTGTTTAACAAGGATAAAGGTATAATACCTTTAATTATATTAAAGAAACAAAATTCTGTGAAGGTAGGTGTTACATTTCAAATAGGATCTGATAATATTTCTTGAACTAAAGAGTCATCTTTAAGAGTGTTAAGTTCATTAAGGTAAGTGATAAAGTTAGTTTTGTGTGATCATATAATTTTTCCTAATATCAATATTAGTCAGGTTATTTATTGGTTTAAAAGAAATTATTCTACAGTTATTTAAGAGCAATAGGAATTAATCTTTGATACTTTGACTCAAGGATTTGATTCAGTTAGAAATTACTATAGAAAGATAAATAAATATGCTAGCTGAATGAGAATAACTGATTATGAAAAAAAATACAATTTATACGTAGTTTGTCTATTAAAAATAAGTTGAAAAGGAAGTAAATGGGTTTAAACAGACCTTTAAATGATGAATTGATTGAAACATTAAAAGAGATTGAAATGAAAAGGAATAATTTGCTTTAGGTGAAGATATTTATAATCAGCCAGTTTCTAAAACAAAATCAAAAGTACTTTCCCATCAGAGTATTACTATAGAAAATGTTAATAGGATTGTAAATAATAAAATCCAGACATTACAACAATCAACGTCAAATCTATTACAAGTATCTTCTTCTAGTCAAAAAAATATCACTAAGGCTGATTTACAAGAAGTCATAGCTAAATCCTTTCAAAAGACTATGTCTCAAGCAATAAGATTCTAGATAATAATAAAAATCAACTAATAAGAGAGCAGAAGACCTTATTATTAAACCTTTTTAGGTGATATACTAAGAGAAAAAGGTAATGTAACCCTTGGCAATGATTATAATTATGATTCTGTTGATGATATTATTGACAATATAGTCAGCATGATACTAAATAGGATACAATAAATGCTATCAAAATCTACTATTAGAAGTGCTATTAAGAAATATATCAAGTGTGGTAGATTTGGATACACTTCTCATAAGTGCTCTATAAAGAAGAAAAAGAAAAGCAAAAAGTCAAAAAAAGATAAGATCAATCTCGCTATAGAATCAGATTCAGCTTCAGATTCTTCTTTAGACAATACTTTATCTAGTGATAGTTTCAATTCTAATTGATTCTTTTGATTTTGATAGTGTTCTTGATATTCATATGATTAAGAATACAGAAAAAAACAGAAAAAATAAGCGAAACAGAAATTATTATTAATTACTGTTTAGCACAGTAGCAATATTGTCTAACATGAGATTATTATTGATTGACAGATCCCATATGATATTTGAAGTTGTAATTTTTTTCATTGACACTATAAATGAGATATAATGGTTTTATCTTTTTTCAAACCTTCATATAGGTTTTTGATATACCTCTTAATCCACTTTTCAGCCAATTTTTACAATAAGATATCTCTTATTTTTGATACTTCACCTTCATCTACTTCATCTTTATCCTCTTCATCTTTGTTCACGTCATCTTCATCTACCTCACTGTCATTCGTTTTATTATTACCCACTTTATTAGCATCTTTTAACTTTTTTAAGACCTCCATCACAATTTCAGATGATGGCTAGTATCTATTATTATAGTTTATAAATCGTGCACAGAGGTCAATAACAGTTTTTAGATAATAGTTAGTATCAATCTTCTTACCAAGTCGTCTTACCACTTCTGGGTATTCCATTTTATTACCTACTCTCTCTGATAAATCATTCTCAACTACAATATATTCAAACTGCTCACCTGGTTCTGAGATTTCATAAAGATAAGGCTTAAGTGTTAAACCTTTTTTTATGTGCTATTTGGCATCTGCTTCTTCACAGGTATGTCTATTTCACATTTGTGAAATAAAATGCTATACACTTTTGTTATTTTTATTAGACCTTCACACAGCAGTTTTAATCATTTTATTAAGATCTTTTATGAGATATTATTTATAGTCTCTTTAATTACATCCTTCACAATTTGATGTAAAATGCATATATTATTTACTCTCATAGACTCTTCCATAATATGTTTTTCTATTTTTCAGAAAATACTAGACTGCTCTGCTTTACAATCTCAACTTCCTGAATGAAAGGCTTATTATTAAAGTTTGATTTACTTTTATGTGAAATGCTATAGTATTTTTTCTTTCCAGTAAATACTACTGAAAATAAAACTTTCTCATATACTATTTTGAGATAAGATAATCCATTATCTTTTCTGAGAAATTCATTAATTCCATCACAAAGTTTCTTTATTTTTTTCATAGATATTTCCACTATTTAAGACCAATATTCTTCTTTCAAAATTCTGTCATTATTGTAAGTCTCATCACATTCCTGAAAAGATTCTTTTAGACAGACAAAATATAAGAAATCAGTATTATCATATTTTATCCTGAATCCCTTATTTTTAATGAAATCTATAATAAGCTTGATATTTTTCTGCCTAGCTAATGTGATACCTTCTGCAAGTTCATGTAAGAAAAAAGGGGATTTAATATTTTTAATAGTGTTTTAAAATATATTTATATATAACTTAAAAGCATATGATTTTGCATCTAAGCAAGTGCAGTCAAAACAAACAGAATCATATTCTGCCATAAATTTATGCTTTTTCTGATTAATAAAGTAATATAAAATTTTAGTAAAACCAGTGCATTTTTCTTCCTTTGCATTTTCTAAGACTTGTTCAATAGCTTTTAATAATGATAAACTTTCATCTAAGCCCAATAAACTTACTACTAGTTTCATATCTTCCTTTTTTGCTTTCAAAAGGTGAAACGCTTTTTCATCTCATTCTATTTATCAAATAGATATTTCAGTATATTAGCATAGAGACCCTTGTCTTTAAAAATATTATTATATCAAACAGATCAGGCATATATAGGGTTACCATTGAATAGAAATTCAATCTTATGAAATTTCTTTTCATTACATTCTACAATAAAGCTTGCTCTTCTGATAAAATAATTTTATTGGGTGAGAGATTATACATTATAATAAGATTTAGATATAATGATGCGAAGTTCAAACCAATTACAGAATGTCTATTTTCTAGCCCTTTTATTAGTAAAAAGACGTAGACACCAGAGTACTTCCTAGTTTCAGTTTGCTCTATTGAGATTATGCTAGTTAGATCCCATTCTGCCATGCACTAATGTCTAAAAGGTTATACTTGTAACCTCTTATATTCATTAATTATATTATGCTTAATTATTAACCACTGATAATTAAAAATATCAATGATATAATATTCAGCTATTTTACACATTTGTTTAGCAGTTGTGGCATTTGCCTCTTTTAGTGCATTTCTATAATATTTAAATATACAGTAAAAAAGTATGTTCATTTTACTTTTAAGCTCACATTCATTTAGGTAAATACTAAACTACTCTTTTTGACCTTAAAATATAAATTCATAAAGCAAGAGCAGATATCAATAGCTATGCATCCAGAAATTTTAAGATGTTTTGAATGAAAAGATATATCATTAACTTTTATCTTATTATACTATATTGCCATTTTATAATTTTTTTGAGACTCAAAGGTTTTAATAACATTTAATTAAACATCCATTCGAGAACTCCTAACTTTTTTACTTTCTTCACAATAAATCTTCAGTTATATTGTAAATCATTAAAACCTACTTGTATATCTGAAACTAAAAGCTTCCAATATAGTGCAAAAGTCTTTAGTAAATTAATCTGAAATTCACATATAATTGTGATCCAGTGTAAGTTTAGCGTAGTTTCAATATCGATAAGACAAATTTGTTTTAATACCTTAGGGTCATCTTTTCAATGAACTGATATGCAGATTATAAATACGTTAGATTCATCACTCTGTGCAGTAAAAATTTGCCTAGTCTAAGCTAACTAATGTCTCTATATCCTATATGAGAATAAGAATTTGATCTCTCATAAATGTTAAAGAAATTAACAGATTGCTATACTTGTTATTATTTATTAGGCTATAATTATTCACAGATACTCAGAAGAGATAAGTACCCTCTTGAATGTGTTCGTATAAATAATTACTTAATATAGCCTAACTCAAAAAAGGTAATCTTTCTTCATGAACTACTTTGCAATAATAATATTAGTAGTTTAGATCAACTGAGGCTGTATACATTTCAACAGCATAAACTGCTTTTAATATATTGTACCAGTTATAGTGGTTCCATGTTCTCACATAGATATATGATTTCTTTTCTATATGATATCCTTGAAGTGAATAAGTGCTAATAGTCTCAATCCTAAATTTTGATGTGTTATTGAGAATATTAGATATTATTCTTATTAATTTGATCTTAAACATAAATAGTCACATCTCTTCAGGTATTACGACATCAAAGAAAGGTTTAATGCCTGTAATATTTATGATCACTTTTTATCTATTAATTAAAGTACCAGTAATGCACAAAATATAAAAAGAGATACCTTTTATACATTTGATATCATCACTAACTTCAGTAGGCATGAAGTAAATAGATTGCTATTAGATAAGCATTGCTAAAGTATAGCAGTCATCCTGTTATCATTTTATCACAATATCATTACATAATAGGATACCAGCTAAGGAGTCAATGCTGTTATAGCAGGTGAGAAGGCCAGTTTCAAAATAATTAGTTTGATTAGAAATAGTTGAGGTATGCATGTCATTAGTTTAAAAAGGTTTATAATACTTTATAAAATTCAGAAATGTTTAATTTATTTTTTTCAGTAAATGCAAAAAGAAACAATAGCAAACTTAGTCAGCAAATTGTAAAAGGAAGATAAGCAGATATGTATCTAGAAGATAAGTCTTCTGTGTATTTTATTATATAAATATTAGTAGAAGATTTATATCACATATAATATGTATTCAGAAGATAAGTCTTCTGCATATTCTATTATATAAATATTAGTAGAAGACTTATATCTAGTGAACTGAATTGGATCTGATCTGATAAAAATCTCACCTTGAGAACCTACCAGTTTTTCTAATTTAGACTACCAAGCTTCAGATCAAAAACTGATCTGGCTTTTTCAGATCACTAGTGACAGCCAGGAACAACAAAAAATCCATCCTATTTTACATCCTAATGCGCCTAAAAAGATGCTAAAATACATTATAAATTATTTAAATCTCAGAATACAAAATTGACATACATATACTAGTAACAAATAAGTAATAGTTGTTTTAGTTGCAAGGTGCACACTTTCAGCAAACAAATGGGATAACCATAATAATACCTATTAGATCTCCAAAAAATATAATACCTCAGCCTCCGCTTCTGATAGCAAATAGGTAATCAAAAAGTAGAATTAAACTTAACCAGTAATATTGTGTAAGTCATCTAATATGATTTATCATCCTGTTATAACAGAATCAGTTTCTAGACTATATTGTTCAAAATTTTCTTTACTAGTTTTGAGGAAAGCACAACCATTAATTTTTTTGCAAGTTTCAGAAATGTTCTAAAAATGTTCCTGACACTAACCTGTAACTATAAAAGGGTATTCAGTACCATAATAGAATCACGTGACTGATATAGTAAAGTTTAGTATAAAATCAGCTAGTATATAAATTCAGCCAGATCCTTAAATATAATAACTTAGCATCCTTCACAATATTTTTATGATAGTTCCTATGACAACTTCACAGTAATTTTAGAATACTATTAAGTCACTATTATAGTATCAAGCTGAATTCTCAAATCACATACCAAAAGATTGGTTAAATTATGATATAGTGCTGGCTGAAATTAATCA